TTGTTATCAAAGGCGAGCTACATAGACTGAACAGTGTCTAAACTCGTGCATTGCACAACAAAACCTACTGGGAGACCTGGAATACCATTAAGCAATAGAGTGGTCAATCCTCAATCGTGTCTCGAACAACGCTGAGGACATAAATAGAACGTTTATTAAAAGAACCAATAATAGGGAGAAGGGGCTATTCATCCACATCAGCATAAAACCGACCTCAGCGATATAGAACCTACCATTATTCAAAAAGAGGATGTTCTGAAAGAGTTGCTGATTCTACACTACACCCTAAATAATCCGATCCCGCACGTTAGTGGCTACCATCCTTAAGGAGTGCACTCACACTTTCTCTGCTCATAGCTCTGTTTAACCAGGGGATGGAAATCTGCCTGCATCATTTCGGTGCCTACAAGAGGAACCACAAAATTACGTCCCATGGCATGTACGTCTGCTATGTTCAAGCTCTTCGGGAAGTTACTACTTCAAGGAATTCCATTGCAATGTTATGTGCAGGACTGTAACCGATTTGCGGAACGCCGCTCTCGCTCCACACTAGATGCCCTAGCTTCTCTGGTCTACAATACTCTATCAACACTAGATGGAAATAAGAAAGCTGTCTGAATATGTTTATTAGGCCACATTGATGCACTTAATTGTGTTGACGGGTCTAAGCTGTTGGATATTTTTTTCTGTGGGATATTGTATATCATAACCGCGGTACTCACAGATTCTTTAACAAATCGACTGCAGTCCATAGGTTACCTTGGACGTTCCTACCTTACCAAAACTTCCCCGTTTTTCCTTTTCCACTCATATTTCATCATGCCTAGCTTTTGAAATTTGCTGCCAATTAAATTCAACAAACGATGTTAAGGTCAGAAGTGACCACCTTGATGCACCTGTCCCTTAACTCTTCAACTTGACCTTTCAAAACTTGCTGAATGATCCACTACACAACTTAACTCTCAATTTCTCTAAATGCGCAGACATGCTGTTCTCACTTCTCAGAGAATCGCTATGAAAATCTCATAGAATCCTGTTCCACGAAAAGCATACGGGGTGATTTCACTATGCAACCCATAAGTGTTAGGTATCTCGGTGTGTTTGTTGATCACCTGAAATTTATGATATTTTCTATTACACACCTAAGAGTGAATAACAGGAGCCGGGGCGAACCCCACTGTCACGAGGACCTACTGTTCAATGGTGGAAACCGGCAACCTAAGCCCCGGGACTTGGAGTGGCGAACCACATAAGGCCCCGATAGGTTAGGCGTGGTATTGAACCGCATGACAGCAGAGCTACCTACCGCCGTCGATCACTTGCTCCAGTGGACGACCGCGAATGCCTAAAACTCTATGCCTAACCTTAGCATTGCTCATCCGGTTACCCTACCAGACTCGTGCAATGCGACGTAGACAGCGGTGTTTAAACACCGACAGTCGATTTATATCCTATTCCCGTAATGGCCAAGTCTATGCACCGTAAAGCAGAACTGGCCGAAATGCTGCAGCATATACTCGACCCTTCATAGACGACCGGATGTCGCGACGGCGCCACAAATATCTCAAGTTGGCAAATGCCAATCGAGCCTTCTGTGTGCGCACCGACATTTCATCTGTGATACGTCCGCCAGGTGAGATATAGCTACCCAGATAGCAAAACTTGTCTACTTGCTCTACAACTTTCCCGGTCAGGGTGAGGCTGGGGACTGGGCCAACCCAATCTTGGAGCAGCATTTTACATTCTGAAGGTACAAAACGCATACCGAATATTGCTAAACTAGCACTCAAACTATCCACAAAAGCTTGCAACTTAACTGCACCTTCACTGAATAGCACAATGTCGTCTGCATACTTTGGATCAGACAGTCTGCCATCTGGAAGTAAATCGATACCGCTCTCCTCGCACGAGGAAAGGGCTATTTCAAGAATTGAATCTATCACGAAGTTAAATAGAAAGGAGAGAGGGCAACCCTGTCGAACACCACTTGCCGCGGTGAACTGGGGTGAAAAAGTGCCGTAAGCTCGGACTCGGCTTGGTACAAAGCGATTGTAATATTGCGAATAACTTCTCGGGCACACCTTTCAGGGAAAGACAGTGCCAGAGTTTAGAGCGGTCGATCGAGTCGAAAGCCAATTTCAGTTCGAGGAAGACAGAGATGTTGGGTATACGAAAAGTGTGTCTATGTTCTACGATTTGACGGAGAGTGAAGATGTGGTCGATAAAACCTCGACCAGGTCTGAAACCAGCCTGGTTCTCACGTGTGCACTTTTCACGAGCGGCAGACAATCGACGGAGTATGATGCCGACGAGAAGTTTAGAAACAATGTTAATTAAACTAATTTCTTTGTGGTTTTCACAAGAGGACCTGTCGCCCTTCTTGTAAATCAGTATGATCACCGATTCACACCATTCAGTTGGAACCTGTTCCTTTTCCCACACTGAACCCAGGAGTTTTGTTAACTCCAAAACCAAGGCTAGACCTCCATCCTTAAAAACGGATGGGGACAGTCCGTCGGGGCCGGAAGCCTTATACCTTTTGAGATAGCTTATTTCTCGAGTAACCTCTATTTCAGATGGAGGACTGATGTCAACTGGCCGTATTTGCACAGTTCAACCGGGTGGCGGGGGGTGGTCTTAAGTCGAAGGTGGCCAACTGAACTGAGCCTTAAACTGTTCTGCCCATCGATCTAGACGGCGTTGCTGAATATGGATGAGTGTACCGTCGGACTCCTTAATTACCTCACTTACGCCTGCTTTCCTTGGACCTGTACTCCTAATTAATCGGAAAAGATTGCGACTATTACCGATAGTAACAGCCTTCTCCATCTCTCATCACTTTGGTACTCACCACTTCTCGCGGTCATTTCTCAGACTCTTGATGAGCTGGCGTTTAGAGATTTGCGCGCCTTGTAGTAGTTTGAATCCGAAGGAATGGCTTTGCGAGCGTCCAGCAGGGTAACGGAAGTCGGGGAGATCCATCGTTTTTTATTTGATCGTGAGTCAGAATTTGCTGTTGTTTCGATTGACATTTGAATCGCTTCCTTGATTGCCATCCAGTGCTCACTGAGTCCTCCGGCTGATGGTTGTGCTGAGAGGCGATCTGATAGCTCCACTTTGAAGGCCGATTTGCAACTACTGCTGACATTGTATCTTGGGCATCCGTTTTCGGCGGCTTTTCTGAGTTTTTTTTACTAGGCGTAGATAGAATCACGCTCGTAGCATAGCATGGTCTGTGTTCACAGTTATTGACCAGTAGGAGCGGCAGTCTTTAATGGATCTAGGCCAGCGGTGGCTGATGGCAATGTGGTCGATTTGAGTCCAGCGTTGTGAAGCGGTTGGCGGTCTCCATGTAAGACGGTGCCGTTTTTTGTGCGAGAAGTTCGTGCTTGACAGAAACAGTCCGGGGTCAGCACAAAGTTGGAGTAAGCGTTCTCCGTTTTCAGTCCTGTTGGCTGGGATTGTATGTGAACCTCCAAGTAGCCTCTCTGATTCGTCCAGGGATCCCACTTGAGCATTGAAGTCTCCAGTGACCACCACGACGTCCGTTGACCGAGCACTTCGGAGTAGTTGAGAAGTCCTTGTAGAATTCATCCTTCACCTCTGGCGAGCTGCAATCTGTCGGTGCATACGCGGATACGACGAATAAGCATCGACGTTTCGTTCTGTAGCTGTTGACTCGTACTGAACCATCCAGACGTACGGCGCAAAGTCGGCTGTTAACCGGGATCCAATCGAGAAGTGAACGCTCGATCTTGACACTCAGCACAATCCCAACACCAGCAACACCGCGAGTTTCGGATGTCGAATCGCCTGATACACGGAGAGTGAAGCGTGAGGATGAGGTTGGATCTAGAGAACGCAAGGAGGTGATTGAAGTAGGGTTTCGTATGCGTCTTTCAGAGACAGCATACATCTAAATGGAAGGTTTCNAGGGTTCTAGCTCAGGCGGCTTGTTGACCGATCTGGTAGAGTGTGCGGACATTAAATGCGGCTAAGTGGAAAGCTGATTTTGGTTTCAAAAATCTGAGCCTCTGAGTGGTTGGCCTCATTAGTTGAACACTGAGTGGTATCCGATGGGTATCGCAACCAGGAGGCATGTGGGATTATTTGGGATTGAAGAGAAGGACTAAACAGATGGGAAAGATGGTTTTTAAAATGGGTGCCTAAGAATGTAGGGCACGGCATAAATCGCGGCAACCCACACCGACGAAGGGGTTTTTCCTTGGGTACCCTAACCGGAGCCTTTGACTCAAAAGTCTGACCCACAAGGCAGTGAGGCATCAATCTATCGCGAGAGCATGGACGGAGCACCCTTATGGGAGCTTCTAAAGACCTGACACACAAGGCCTTTGAATTTCGGTAAGTTTGTTGTTTGCTGGTGCATTGATTGTCGGTTCGCTTTTCAGGATCGTCACTTAACCTCATGCACCCAATGAGACAAGCGGAACGTGAACGGGACGGCTGGGGGCTGCCCAGCTTGGGCGGGCGGTATCTGTCCAATGAAGTGCGAAGACTTCTCCCACCGTCGAAAGGAATCCCCAGGTACCCCGGTCCTACGTTCATCTAACGGGGTGTTTTGACCGGTAAACTGCCCCTCACTGTGTTTGCTTACTGGAGTGACCTCTCTTGGGGCGGGTGTGTATGGAAGAAGTAAGCCAGGTGCCCAAGCAGCTGACCTTGTGAGACTGATCTTTTTCTGGTCTCTACCCGTTGACCTTTCAGGCATGATGGGATATGCGGCTGAGGAGCCATCCTGTATAGTTCACAGGGTCATTGCGGCGCGCAAGCCATCAACCCACACCAAGGCGCGTATAACTCAATCTAAACTGCACGCGTGGGAAAAAACGTATACGTATACACGGTGGTGGGCGTGTAAAGCGGTGAAACTATTCAAATAATGCGAAAGTTAATGTTCGTGAAGATGTTTCTGGCAAACAGAGAATCGAAAGACATTTTGACCATTTTATGCTCATTAAAGAAATTTTACCCAAACATACCTGATTCGCATACCGATGTCGAATGCCCGTCGACTGGACTAGAAAAGGCGAAAAAAATAATTACGGATTAGTTGAAAGTACAATAGTGCAACAATAAAAATTAATTAGACATTAAATCACAGTGAAGTGGATAATAACGGACAACGCAGGGTAAACTGAACCAACGAAACTAAATAGCGAGTACAAGTCTTATTTTGCATCCAGTACTTTGAATGTATAAGTGAACCGAGTGGTACCGATAATGCTACTTGCGTCGCTACCAATATTTTCGGAGGATTCTCTATGATGTTCATCTGTCCTGAAATGGGAAAAGGTCACACAAAAATAAAAGCAAAGATACGCACAATACGCACTCGACAAAAGGATGACACCAAAGGAAATGTANGTAAGGCACAAGTACCGTGGAAGCACGCATTAAAAATTACTTGATTATCCAATTGTAGCTTACGAACCCGCATTTCAAGGTATTTCCGATGAACAAAACAACCTAACCACAACAAATGTGAGTGCAAACATTCATATGAAGCAAAAGTTCATTATGTTTGGTCAACAAAGCTAAATTAATCCTTACGGAGAACAAGCTGGATCGTGCCCTCCTTAGTGTATCTGGAGTTAAAGGATGGGATGCCCGATCTTGTTATCTCATCCTTTATTTTCTCGGTCAAGGCAACCGAGAAGTAGGATGCCCACACAATCTATGAACACGTTCTACAGATTTTACTTCGTATTTTGTGTTATCTTTCCCAATTCCGTGTTATATATATATATATATTTCGCAGACCACTTGCTGCGTTCTTTAGTACAGTGCGATTGGTTCATCGTTTCACCTTGTCTTGTCCTTCTAACCCGTGACCTTTCTCTCTCTCTGCCCCTCGCTGCCATCTGATTGGATCATTTTCCGCGATTAAATTGTAGTGCCAACTTCAGGATGGCAGGTACCACATTATCTTATAACACTTGAAGGCATGAGGCGCCTTAAACAATGTATTAGGCAAAACTGTTCTTATCTGTTACGTTTCCGGTGAAAACTTACGGCCAGACAACCTTGCTGTACACAATACCAATAGAATCTGAAGTTAGTACTATATTTTGTTTCCAACAAGTCGATGCACCGCCAAAGAAGGTTCTGGCGTTGGCCCAGA